CACTTCTTTTTTTGTTGTTAAAGACAAAATTGGACCTTCCCATACTGAAAAGGGGATGATACGGTTTTATCGACTAGAGTTCTCTCTTCCCTAGTGACTTCTAAATACAGTCGGAAGCTTTTTAACTACCAGCGCCGACTCCTCTTAAACAGGAGGCACTTCGAATGCCCTTGAAAGTGTTATGCTGTGTGTCAATATATCTTCAAGCGGTTCTATGAAAAATAGGTTTAAAAATACTTTTTAAATTGAAGTAGGATGAACGGCAGCATGTTAGTTTCAGGTGTGCACAATGAGGGTTCCACAATTCCGCGCGTAACTCAGTGTTCGACATGCTAAGTGTCTCCCCGATCCTCTACTTCTTCCCTCCCCGTGCCCACCCACCGAAGAGAGGGGATATCTGCAAGTGATGGGGAACTCAACATCAAAAATAATCGATTTTAAAAATTTAGAGATTCAGAAAGCCTGAACAGACAAGTTCCCAAAGACGACGCACAGATGGTAAATGGACACGTGAAAAGATGCTCAGTATCACCTCTCGTCGGGGGCTGCAAATCAGAACCACAATGAAGTATCGCCTTCCGTGAGGACGGCTAAAATAAAAAACCCAAGAAATAACAAGGGCTGGCGAGGACGACGACCGGACGGAAGGGAGCCCTCGAGGGCTGTTGGAGGGAACGCAAACTGGTGCAGCTACTGTGGAAAACAGTACGGAGGTTCCTCAACAAATTAAAGTTACCACAAAGGTAGTCATTCCGCTGCCAAGTATCTACCCATAGAAAATGAAAACACGAATTTGGGAAAAATATACTTTTTTAAAAAGCAGATGTATTTGCTCAAAATGGAATGTGTCTGTAACCTTAAGAAACTTAGGGGTGTGGAAACAGACACAAGCACGGTGTCGTTCACTGAGGAGCTGAGGTCGAACCAAAGTCATAGAAAGGGGACCCAGAGCACACGTCCCCGGGCCTTGTCTGAGGTACACCATTGCCAACTGTTGGACCTCAGGGATTGCCACGGCCCAGAGTAGGTGGCCTTGGCCCAATATGGTCTTGTTGACCTCTGTACCATATCGGTCTCGAGCTCCCGTCTGCTGGGACGAGTGAGGAGCTGGTCTCAGGACTGCCGGCCTGGGAAACAGCACCGGGGACGGCCCTGGCTGCCCAAGGCTTACAGACAAACCCATCGGTGTGGCTCTGGCACAGGAAATCTTAAATGTGTGCTCCTTTGGGGATTTTTTTTTTAAAACAAAATACTGGTTTTTTTATAATAAACACCGGGAGGGAGAAACCTCCACTTCTAGTACCTAAAACAAATCAGTCTGTTAAGGACTTAAAGTCGTGTTTTAAAGAGGCATTTCCCAAGTCTCTATTTATAGCTCTCCAGTAGCTGAGAAAGCAATTAGCCACATTATAACCTCTTAGGCAGTATAACTGGCTTTACTAATTACATTCTCATTAACACTGTTTTATTTCACTGCTCTTGGTGGGAGGGCTTTAAACATCCCTCTGGCTGGTAGGCTACACGGGAGTCTTCCGTCCCATCCTGCTTAATTATTCATAATGATTTCTTAATTTCTTATCAGGGGTGCCACACAAGAGAAAAAAGCTAGTAGGTGTCCCATAAAATAAAAATGCTCTAAGTAAAACTATGGATTTACATATGGGATTTGAGATTTATCTACGCTCAGAGAGATGGAACGTAACACAAGAAATGGGGCACTAACTCCATGCCATAGGGCCTTACATCTCTCTAAGTATTTTACACGCTCTAACAGAGTTGGAAACATAAACCTCTTAAGACTTCTATAAAAACAAAGTTTTAGAGATGACAGGGGCTCAGGGAACAAAACTTCAAAAACGCCACCCTGACAGGTGTGGCCAGACATGTCCACCTGTCCAGAGAATTTAAAACACAGGGAGAACCACTCTTTGATGCATAGCTGCAGTCTGGGTCGGGCCCATTTGCAGGTTTATAGGGACCTAGTTTCCATCTTCGCTTTCTGCTTTCTGGGATGTCTGCAGTGCGCGCAGGGCGCAGACCCCCCGCTAGGGTCTGATAGACCTGGAAGCCCCTCCCGGCTAACCTTGAATGCTGTGAGGTGCTGAGAGGGGGCTGAAGGTTGGCATCAAGGTCACCGGTTCTTTAGAAAGATTAGTCGATAAAGGGGAAAGTTAGAGTGTGGCAGGTGGGTAGGGAAGGGTCGTTATCTTTTAAGAGTAGATCCCAGACCTACCTTATACTCCTTATTTGGGAATATCTACAGACTTTTGATGTGCATACTCTGAACCATCCGCCTCACTTCTAAAAATTTACCTGACTGGTGCAATTGCACAAAGATGTATGCAAAGGGCGTTCACTGCGGCATTATTTCGTTCACTGTGGCATTATTTCGTTCACTGCGGCATTATTTCAATGAGCAAAATATCAAATGTTTAAAAAAGAGAAGAGATACATGGTCATGTGGGAAGACAGCAAAGATGTAAGTGCAAAATCAGAACTGTGCATAATGGGATTCATTTCAGCTGTACCAGTGTGCGTACATATGCAGAATGGCGCCTGATGAAAAGGTGGGCCAAGGAATAGCAGAGAATGCTTTCAAGCTATTTAATTGTTGAATGTATGTTGCATTTCTAATAAAAACCCCGTCTCCCCAACCTAAAATGACAGCCCCTGTGCAGGAAAGAAGTAACACAGCAAGCTTGAGACGATTACCCTTGGAAAGGCCTGCTTGTCAGGCTGACCCCAGGCTGGGGTCTGGGAACTTGGATTTGCCGGCGGGGGGTGCTCACCACACTCTGGTAAGAATGGGTCACTGGGTCTGAACAGTTTATGGAAATAATTTGGTTTATGTTGAACACCTGCTTCCTTCTGGGAGTCTGGAATTTTGGGACATGCTAGGTAAAGGGTACCTGTGTAACTGACTCCCAGTAAAAGGTCTGAGCCTCAGCTCAGACAAGCTGCCCTGGCTGATATGTCACATGACCACACACCACGGCGGGAATGACACCCGTGGGCACTGCGTCACTGGGCAAGGCCTCCTGCAAGCATGGGCCTGGTTTCCCGTGGACTTTACCCCACACACTGCTCCCTTTGCTCACTGCTCCGTATCCTTTTGGTCTAAGTCATCACAGCCTCAAGTATAACTCTCTGCTGAGTTCTGGAAATCGTCTTCATAAATAATTGAATTTGGGGGTGGCCACGGGAACTCTCAACTAATTTTTTTTTATACCACCTTCTCGACCTTCATGGCATTACCAAAATCTGTAATTAAACTACCTTTCTCACTGGACTGTAAGAACCATGAGGTGAACTCTATGAATTCGTTACCACTACGTTACACATAAATACCCACTAAAGGGGGGAAATGCCAGTTACTAATAAAAGATGATGTGCTGGAGAGATGCTTCTTTTACTTTTCAAGATCCCTGAGAGACACTCAAAACAAAAATCAGTACACCGGCAGAACCCAACTCTGTACTTAAATGGAAAGTACCAGACTCTCTCCCTGCCACCCACCCCTCACTTGTGCTCCTATCTGAAAAGGGAAACTGAGAACAAGACATGAAGTTTCTCAGCCGCTGAGGCCACTGTGTCACTAACAGGAGGCCACAGGGCTCTAAGCCTCTAAGAAGCAATGGGGCAGCGTGCTCGTGCCACCCACTTCCTCTCTCCCTGTGGCTTGTGCCTCCTCGGTCCCCACCTCCCCTTGCAAAGAATGAAAAAGTCCTATAATCCACCGTGGACGACAGTGCCACGACTTGGCAACCTGAGAGGTTAATCTAGCGTTGAATTTCAAAGTGATTTTCACACTCATCCAGATTTCCCTCCAGGACAACTCATTCCCAGACACTGCAGCTCTCCAGAGGACCCTGGGCAGAGGGGTCTGCCCTGAGCCGGTTATGTGTCTATACTGACTCAAAGCCTCCCTCAACCCCTTGCCTGGGGCTCTGGGATGCAGCAGGCTACACTCACCCTTCTGTCCTTGGGTCTCTTTTGCTGGGTGTATTTTCTCCATTCCGGCATCTTGCCCTGTTACATTCATCTGAAGCTTATCACCAAGAGCCATTAATCTGCAATTTCTAGCATTATCAGGCCCCTGTAGCCAGTTCAGGGGCAGGAGGTCCGGAGAAAGCCTCCCAAACCTTGGAGAGTCCCTTTCTGGGTTTTCTCCAAAGGGCTGCAGCTGGCCTCTGGGAATCGTGGTGCCCAGACTACCCACCCTCCAGCTCCCGGGCCCTCTCCCCATGCCTCCCCACTTTTCAGCAACCGTGTGATTATGGGCCACTCACAGCCCATGAGGATGTGAGCACCCGCAGGTTAGAACTGGTCTCATCCACCTTTGCGCGATGCTGGCTGGGTGTGGGACAGGGCCTCACAACATAGGCACTTACTCTGTGCATAGGTCAGTCAGTGCCTTGTGTCCTCTGCGGGTAGAATGGACCCAGTAATTGCCATCTTTCTGTTACGCTCATGAGAAGGAAATAAATTCTGGAGATAAATCTATTTTGGAATGTTAGCTATTAAGTGTCCCTCACATCCTACCCTCTGTTTCATTGAACTTTTTGCTTATGGGAGGCTCTGTGGGCACTGCACAGAAATGAAGCGCGTGGACACCAGGATTTGAGGCGTCTAAGTTATCCTACCACCTGCAGGGAAGAGAGGCGACAAATGACACAACGGCTGCAGTAACGTGTTCCTTGCTACACTTGCTGCTGTCTCCCCTCCTGACGGTCACCTCTTTCTGCGTCCCCCGCCCCTTGCCATGTCCTCCTTTCCCAGTCGCCCCTGTCCTTCACCATCTCCTGCTCTCTTCCTTCCACTGGGCCATCCTCAACTGTTTTCAGATGGAAATAACCCACAAGCCCCCCTCACAGTCGCCCTGCCTGGCATCTCTGCCTTGCCCCACGCTCCAGACTGGGGCCAACACTACCCACGCCCAGTCCTGCTGGGTCCTGCTGTGGGCATCCCTGCTCTAGCACCCCTCCTCTGGTCCCCTTTACCTTGCTGGCCTTCAGGATGTTGATCTGCTCTTCATACACCGTGTCTCTGTTTTTCTCCAGAAAACCATCTGAGAGGTACTCCACCTGGGGCCACAGAAGGAAATAGAAACAGGGGTCAAGTGTTTCAGCCCACAGCTACTTGATAACCTGAGACATTTCATCTCACCCATCCGTGTTTTCTGACGAGTGGTGAGTAGCTGGTAAACCCACAGTTGTTCCCATTTAAAACGCAAACCCGGGGCACCTGGGTGGCTCAGGTCATGATCTCAGGGTTCTGGGATCGAGTCCCGTATCGGGCTCTCTGCTCGGCAGGGGGCCTGCTTCCTTCTCTCTCTCTGCCTGCCTCTCTGCCTACTTGTGATCTCTCTCTGTCAAATAAATAAATTCTTTAAAAAAGATAAAAAATAAAATAAAACGCAAACCCAAGATGTGATCAGGATTTATACAGAGGAAGTTGAGTATTCATTTTGTGGAAAAACATTGTTTTAAAAAAGGAATTCCCATAAGAGGACCTAAGGCCTCCTTTGGATGTTGAAAGGGCTATCAAATTAGAATCTGCATTTTGTCTTTGAAGATTTTAATTTGAGAGAGTGCACACATGCAAGTGTGTGTGCAGAGGGGGAGGCAGATAGAAAATCTCAGAGTCCTCGCTGAGCACAGAGTCCGACGTGGGGCTCGATCTCACAGCCCTGAGATCATGACCTGAGCCAAAACCGTGAGTCGGATGCTTAACTGGCTGAGCCGCCCAGGTGCTCCTGGAGTCTGCATTTTAGGGCGACCCCAGTGACTTAAGTGCAGATTACTATTTGGAAAGCAAGGGCTAGGGCAAGCAGAACAGAAATCCATGTAGGAAAATTCTGTGTACACCAGGTGTGGGAAAGGAGCTACCCAAAGAAGAGCGCCATTCTGTTCTCACGCCTTCCTTCTCCCTCTGGGGTACACTCACAACTGTTTTATGGGCTCCTGTCCTCCCAGGAGAGAGACGCTCAATAAATGTTTGTCAGCCAAATGGCTGGGGAGCTGCAGCCCATCCCCCCAAACACCTCAGGCTCTGCCAATGTAGTGACAGTTTGATGTATTACAGAGGGGGCTGGGGAAGGAAAGAGAGGGTAGACAAAGACCCTAAGAGACTCTCAGGCCACTTGAATTCAAAAGATACCACATTCTCTTAGCCTTGAGTCCCTGTAGGATGGGGCTCACAGCATACCCAAGCCCACGAAGAGACTCACCTTGTCAGCAAAGTGGACGACAATGAAGGCCGTGTTGGACATGCGGGGTTTCTGGAAGTGCTGGCTGCCAGAGTGCCGGTCGTAGAGCTTCTGGGCCCAGTTCTGGTCAGTTCCTTTGGGGACCTGCAGAAACATGTAAGAGGACAGAGTGCTCTGTGAAGAGGAAGAAGCAAGCAGAGAACCGTGGCAGAGGGAGATGGAGTCCACCAGTAAGTCGATCTCACAGGGGCTGGACCCCAGCTGGACAAGGAAAACAAGTTCTGGCCACGAACGCTTTGGATCCCGCATGGCCTTCTCTCAACACGCCAGGTGGGTTGGTTCCAGCGGTGTCCCCAGGAGTACGCTTAGCCTCAAAGAATCTTCTGGTCGACAGATGCTGATGGGGGAGCATCAGTTTGGAGCCCGAGGGGGCAGGAGCAGTGTCAGAACAGTTCTGAAGATGAGGCTTCCCCTAGCTGGGCCAGCGGCCTCAGCGTCATGACTGTGCCATGCCCACCCCTAGTGCCACGCTCCCGCTTACGCGGCCCAGTGCCTGCAGCAGGAAAGCCCACCCTCTCTGGCTCATCGAACCACCACTGTCTGGGCTCAGCTCAAGCCTGCCCTCCTCTCTGAAGCCTTCCCTGGCTACTCTTGATCTCACCTGGGAATGCCTCACGATGTTCTTACACATACACTAATGCAGTCCATCCCTGGGTTTTGTGCATCGCTTTGTCGCTACAAACTGTAAGCTTGTTGGGCTCAAGGAGGATGCCTTATTGTTTTTCACCTGCCCCTCAAAGCACTTGGAATTGGGTTCCAGGCACACACACAGGGTATTAAGACCTAGGAAATGAGCTATGCAACACTTTCTCCTCAAGTTTAGATATTTTTTAAAGATTTATTTATTTGTCAGAGAGAAAGCCCAAGCCGGAGAAGCAGCAGGCGGAGGGGGAAGCAGGCTCCCCGCCAAGCAAGGAGCCTGATTGTGGGACTCGATCCCAGGATCCTGAGATCATGATCCGAGCCAAAGGCAGATGCCCAACCAACTGAGCCACCCAGGTGTCCCAAGTTTAAATTTAGAAGTTTCATGACAGTAAGCATTCTGGGGCAGCCCCTTTCAGTATCTTCCAGGCTGGCTTCAGCATTGAAGCAGCATCGGGGTGCCTGTGGGGCTCACAGTCGTTAAGTGTCTGCCTTCAGCTCTGGTCATGATCCCAGGGTCCTGGGATAGAGCCCCATATTGGGCTCCCTGCTCGTCAGGAAGCCTGCTTTTCCCTCTCCCATTCTCCCTGCTTGTGTTCTCTCTCTCGCTGTGTCTCTCTCTCTCTGAAATAAACAAAATCTTAAAAAAAAAAAAAAGTGAAACAATATCTTGTTTTGTTGAAAATATACCACAGAGTCACTGTAGCCACCATTCAATTGTCCAGGATGATAGGGGGAGGTGCATCTGCCACTGTCATCCCTGGAGGCCACTGTGCACACCCACTCCTGGGTGTACTGTTTTCTATGTGTAAATGTTTTCCACACATTTTAGATGCATAGACTCATTTAATCCTCACAAGATTCCTATCAGCTAGGCACTATGTTTATACAATTTTACAGATGAAGAAATGGACACAGAGAGGTTAGGTAACTTGCCCAAGGTCACACAGCTGGGAAGCAGCAGAGCTGGGGTTCAAACTGGGCCAGGTTGACTCCCGAGCAAATGCTCCCCGCTACTGTGCTTTCCTGCCGGACAACAGAGATTCAAAAGCAGCCACGAAGATGGGATTAGACGGAAGGCACTTATCTCCAAAAATGATTCAAAACAAGCACAGAAGAAAGAAAGCAAATCTTGTGTTTTGATAAAATCTGGGTTGTGGGATCAGTGGCTCTGAATCAAATCCTTTAGAAAATACTACATGTGGCTTCATGCAAGTGGCCTTCCTCTCTTCTCAAAATAACATGAAGAGCCTAGATCCTAGCTCTGTCCTCATCTATATGAGGACAGTCCCTCAGAGACCCAGTCCCCCTGACCTGCAGGGTTGGCCACTGGTCAGATCAAAAAGTATAGGTTTGAATGCAGGAAATGTCCAGAATAGACCAATCTTTAAAGACATTAAATAGATGAGAGTCTGCCTTGGGCAGTGGAGGGAGACTGGGTGGTGGGGGGTTGGGGAAGTGACTATGGGGGAGGGGAGAGTGACTAGCCGTGGGTTCTGCTACTGGGGCACAACTCTTAGACAGCCAACCAGAGGTTGTGTATTTTAAGTGAGTGAATTTTATGGTATGTTAATTACATTTCAAAAAAGCTTTTAAAATGCATTAATGCATTTAATGATTTTACTCTTTGTTATTGAAACTATAAAATTTTAAAAAATAAGGAAGAGAGAAGAGGGTGAGTCCTAGGCTCCCCTAGCCCTTCTCCCCCATCAGCCTGCATTTCAAGCCCAGGGGCTAGGGTGCTCACTGGCAGCTGAGGGCAGAGACAGGCTCCCTCCTCTGCTCCTGGCTGCCATCCCCAGTGCCTGTTCCAGGATTTTACTTTTCCATCTTCACAAAATGCCCCTCTCTGTGCTCAGCAAAACACTGGGTTGGGCCGAGTCCACAGGTCAACTCCTCTTGCCTTCATCAAGTCCTGCTGGGCACTTAGTACCATTCAAAAAAAAGTACCGTGCCAAAAAAAAAAAAAAAAAATTACCATCACGTTTTACTGAGAGATGCTACCTCTGCAGATGAGGACACTGTGCCCAGATAGAACTGGGGGCTGGCCTCAACGACCCCCATCTTTCCATGGTCTTTGACCTTCCCTGTTGGCAGGATGGCCATTCCCCTGCTTCCTGCCCTCTCTGCCAGCCCCCAGGCTGCCACCTCCTGCACAGGACTCATTCTCACCTTCATGGGGAAGCAGAGGAGCCAACCAAGCAGGACCCAGAAACGGAGCATCCACACCGCCCCCCCCCCACCTCCCGTTGGAGGGAGCACTTCTCCCCACCAGGGTCCTGTGTACTCACCGGCTGGCCTCCTGCAGCCATGGCCTGGGGAGGGGCGTGTCAAATTTGCCGCCTCTGCTGCCTCACCTCATCCTCCCCACGAAGTCGCAGAAGCCAGGCTGCTGCCCGGACAGCTCCCTGACCAAATTCTCTAACCCACAGGCTTGCTGCCAGAGGCAGGGCCCTGTGACCCTCTCTGCGCCCCCCTGCAAGTCTTTTGTCTTCCCCGCCTGGATAAAGGAGAGCAGGACGCCTCCCTGCTCCCCTCTCTCCTGTCTCGCTCTACCTCGGCTTCCCCAGTGGCCGGCGACATCCGTAAGAAGCGATCACACCTGTCCCTGCCTCCCAGCCCTGCACCCCCAGAGCCTTCAGAGTCCGGTCCAAATGCCCTCTCTGGACAGAGCCTCCCATTCTGATGGTTCTCACTTTCCAGTTTCACCTGCCACCACCACGGGGTCCAGACAGGTCGGACCACTTCAAGTTCTCTCAATGTGACACTCCTTTGACCCAGAAGGCCACCTCACTTCTGACTTCTCTTCGTCAACAGCCCTTTGGGGCTGCTTCTCCCCACAGTCACCTCCTTCTGAACGTTCCCACCCTGTCACCGTGGTGATGACTGCGGCCCTGGCCTGACCCCTTGAGGTGCTGTGTGAAGGGCAGGGACTCGGTGGCAGGAACAAGGGCTTCACTGGGCAGGTGAACGAGCAGAGGTGGGAAGGCCCCTTCACCTCCCTCCCTCTCGGGTTTTGACCTGTTCACAAACATGCAGGACAAGGAGACCTTGGGGGCAACAAAGCACGAACCCTTGAGCTTAACACTGAGCGAGCTCTCCTGAGAGCAGGCTGGACCCAGGTGAGGAAGAAGGGGGCCTTCGGGATGCCGTCCCTCCGCTGCTCAACAGGGAGTTACAGAAGATCTGCCCTTCTCCAGCTCTTTAGGCCAGGCCCCGAAAATGCAAGAACCCCACTCCCCAGGGCAGAGCCTGCTTCTGGCCTCGGGACTGGCCCCGAGTCCCCAGACTCTCCCCAGACTGAGTGCCTCTGCGGTGTTACTCACAAGCACTGCTTCCAGGGATCAAAGCATCACTTTCAGAAAAATTCTGCTGATGCAAACGTGTCATTTAAAGGAAACACGCTTTGATTGACCTGTCCTATCCCATCAGCCCCAACTGGGTGCTCCCCCAGAAGAGGGAGGGCAGGGAATGCCGCTCCGAATATGGCCTATGTCATGCCCCACAGCAGCCTTAGAGAGCAGTGGGCACAGGAGAGTTTTAACAGCAGCCTGGAAAGAAACACCAGCTGCAAGCAGACCCCCGCGTCCTCCCCCCCGGTTCCTGATGGAGCGGCCTGGGGCAGACCACAGATCCAGGATCGCAAGAAGGCTCTTCCCCCTGAAGGAGCCCTGGGGGACTTTAGTCACTCCGTGAACACCCCTGTGGCTGCAGGCACCCATCGCGGGCTCTGGGGGGAGCCACCCCTGTGCTGCTCCTTTAAATCCATGGTCACCCCGCACCCCCCCCCCCCCCCATTTCTAATTTAAATGCCAGCCCACTGGCTCTGCCTGCCACTGTGTGTCTTTTCCAGGAAAAGCGATTTCCCAGTGGCCACTTTTAGAGCAGGAGTCTAATCCTTAATGTGGCTTTGTGTCCTGTCACATGGGGGTCACGGTGCAATCCCATTCTTCCTCGTCCTGTGGCGTGTGTCTGAGCGGCAGAGGAGGGAAGGGACATGGTCTGAGGCAGCTCCGCTGTTCCACAGGACGGTCCCTGAGGGACGCCGTGTCGCCAGCTCCAGCGGGACTCCCTCCCCCGCTCAGGCTCACAGCCAGCGGTGCTGCCACAGGGTGCACCAGGCCCCCGGCCCCCGTTTTGTGGAGTTGGGCTCTCCCTACAGCAAAACACACCCTGTCAAGACACACAAAGCCGTGAGTTCTGACAAAGGCACCACCTGTCGGTTCACCCTCTGCCTGCTCCGAGCAGCTACGTCAGGCTGCACTGAAGCACTTACCTCAGGAGGAAGGAGAGGGGGGAAGCTTTCCACACTGGGGCTTTGTACTCCTCCTTAATGAGGCGTTTGTTTTGCCCGCCCTGCTCCTCCCCACCGTGTCCTCAGCCACCACAGAGTCTCACCAAGTCCCGCTGGCAGGAGTGACACCCCTCTCAACACCAGCTGGACCGACCGGAAATCCGGGTTCTCCTCAGACCTGCCCCTCCGAGGAGCCCCAGGCACAGGGAAGCAAGGAGACTTAACAGAATGGCCCTCTTTCTGCATCGCCATCGCAGTCCCCTTCCCTTGATTCTGCTCGGGTGTTGCTCTGTGGCCCTTGGGCTGTGGTCCAGGCCTCTTTTAGCCTGCTCTGGGCCCAGGGGGCACTGGGCCTTGCCCACAGCCGTCCTGGGCCCCACCCCCACGCCCTCAGAGCACAGTCCTGTCCCTCTCCATCCCTGCTGGCCAGTACGGAGAACACTTCCTCCTCTCCTGAGACCTGACAGACGCAGGCGCATGACACATTCGGGGTGTCTGACGGATGGCAGAGGCAGAATTCAGGCAGATGCAGTCTTCAGCTGAAATCACCTAATTTTTATGAATCTGACCCAGTCAGAAGGCTCCACAGAACATGAAGGCAGAGATCATCCACCAAGAGAGTTTCCATTAGCTTCTCAAAGTAAAACAGATTCCGCAGGGAGGCCGCAGGTAGTTTGCACTCGGTAGGGAGATAGCACTGGGAATATGCAAGGCTGCAAAGTATAATGGTCTGGGCTGTTGAACACGGCTTGCAGCCTGGGCCTCCCAGCGACCACTCTGCGTTTTTACTAAGGATCTCCCACCACCCTGGGAATCACCGGCTCACCAAGCCCATAGGACTCCAGTTTCCCCTTGCTGGCTTGGCTCCCAGCCAAGAGGTCTTGGGCCTTAGACCTTAGACCTTAGACACAGGTCTAAGGTCTCTGCACCTGTGTTCCTACCACCTTGACTTGACATTCCTGGGACCTGTTCCCTTGGGTAGTGGCACCTTTCAGATCCTCAAACCATAAGCCAGAGCAAACCCACCTTGATTGGTCTTTGATTGCTAACCGCAGATAAATCACTGGAAATCAATTAGGCAGCTGCTTGATCCAGAGAATCCGTCATCCTGAAGCCTTAGGCGTTTTTCTAGGTGTGTGTACCCAGCAAAGGAGAGACCATGCCTCAGGACTTTACGTCAGAGCTGTGCGTCTACGAATTGCTGGGTAGAGCCACGCAAGGTAAACCACCCACTTCAAGGGCCTCCTCAGAGCCAATGGGTCTTAACCTTCACCCTGGGAGGGCCCTGAAGAGCTGGAATCCTGGAGCCAGGGCCCGGGGTGGACACAAGGACACGGTGGTGCCTTCGGGGTTGGGGCGTGGGGCAGGAGGAGAAGGTTACGAACAGGAGCACACACCACACTGGAGGAGGGGCGGAGGGTCCCGCTGAGCTTGAAGGTAGCTATTGGCAGTGGACGCTGAATCCAAGTGAGTGAATGGTGAACAAAGGGCTGGGAAGGGGAGGAACAACACTTAAGAGTTGGGGCCATGACTTTGGTCATTAAGCCAGTGGCGCTCCATGCAGGAAAAAGTGTCCTATCAGCTTCACCGCTACCTCCCAAGCTGAGCAGGCCCAGGCACACACCTTACACACTGAGGAATCAGCCCTGCCTGGAGCTGACGTGGGGCAAAGCCCACAGCTCAGAAGAAATGCTGCAAACCATTGGGAGTGAAGATGTGTAAGCTGTGGACTTTAGCATATCTCCCTCCATCTTCCACTGTTCCATCAACCTTTCCTTTTCATTGTCAAAGACAATGACACTGGGAGCACCCTCCTGGAAGGGAGATATCTTCCTCCTCTAAACCATCCAGCCATGCCCAATCCTTCACAGGCAAGATGTGGGAGGCCAGGGAGTAAAGGAAACCAAGTATTTTCCTTGCTATCCCAAGAATTGTGTGTTTTTACACATTTGGATGAGAGTTTCCACTGCTCAAGGAATGTTACCCTCTTATCAGCGACCATCCAACTGGGTGAAATTCTGAAGATCATCAGATCCAAACCTTCTAATCCACAGAGCAGGAAACCAAAGGCCAAAGCAGTTAGGTGATCAATAAGACCCAGATTCTTGGTGCGCCTGAGTGGCTCAGTTGGTTAAATGTCTGCCTTTGGCTCAGGTCGTGGTCTCAGGACCCTAGGATCAAGCCCTGCATTGAGCTCCCTGCTTAGTAGGGAGCCTGCTTCCCCCTGTGCCCCTATGCCCCCACTCAAGCTCCCATATATACAATACATACACACACATACGTACATATCTTAAAAATAAAATAAAATAAAACCCAGATCCTCCCAAACCACATTTTCAAGGCTGCCTGCCTTTTCCCTTGCTGGCCACTCACGACATCGCTGTCCTACCAGGTAGAAGCCACAAAAAGCTGGATGGGGGACCTATGGACCTCACCTGCCACCAAGCTTGCAGCTCCATCACTCATAATGCATCTGGCCTGACAAACATGCCCCTGGGCTCTTGGCCTTCACTCTCAGAGGATGCCTGTCTAGATGTGAGGGTCTTTCTCTCAGCGCCTAGGATATCGGGGGCACCAAATCCATACCACCATTCTATAGTGCCAAACCATACCATCCAGTCTCTGCCAAGAAAGGTACACATTCACCTACACAGTTAGCTTCTAGCGTGTAGGATGGACATCAAGTCTTCTCTCACCACCCTACAGGTGGGCTAAGTGCCCATGAAATCCCCGCTCTGAGACCTCATGCACTCCCTGCAGCACAGAGTGGGCTCTGGCACCCCCCACCCCCAGCATCAAACTAACACAATGAGCATGTCATCAGTCTTACCTTACATTCTTCATCCAGCAGGTCCAAGATGCCCAGCTTGGCTTCTATGAGGTCAATACAAGGTTGGTTATCATAAAAGTCAATCAAGGTCCAAGGGATCTGCTCCTTCATATATTCTTCTTGCTCTAGTTTGAATACATGCTAGGGTAGGTGAAAGGTCAAGGTTAGTGAGCTGCAGGCACATCCCAATGTTCATCTCCCCTGAGCTTCAACCACGTGAGCTTGGAGTCCCAGAGAAGGGGGCATGGATGTATACCCATCAGAAAAGGTTTGAGCACTAAGTCACAGTCGTGACTGCAGAAAAGGAGATCAGTTAGGTGATCCCCATTCCCACATGAACCCTTCTGTAGAATATTCTAGTAATCAACTGGCTTGCAATCCAGCAAATACCTCAGAAGCCCAGAATCAGGAGGTGGGGGAGTCAAAACCAAGGGGAGGATCATTTACCTTCTCAACCCAGTTGCCCCATTCCTCCTGAGCAACAGGGAATGCCTTTCCAAAGCTGGGGCACCCCCCAAGACACTAAGAGAAGGCTGGGGCAGAGCTAGAGCCCACCGGTCCTGGATGGAAGAGAAGTGCCCCAGGCTGCTGCTCCCAGGGCGAGAGGTACCCCCACCCGACGCCCTGGGTCCAGGAGCCCAGCCTACCGAGTTAAACTGCTGCTGCAACTTCTCGTTTGCATAGTTGATACAGAACTGCTCAAAGCTGTTGACCTCAAATGTCTCAAACCTGCAGAATGGAAAGGGAGGACAAAGGGGCATTCGTCTTACCAAAGGAATCACTGGGACTTCCAATAAGGCTACTCTCATCTCCTCTCTCCCCCCATCCAGCTCCATCCTCAACTCCAGCACGGAAGTCCTTCACAAGCCCAAGAGGGGGGCTTTCCACCCAGAGGGGGTGCCTTTTTCCTATTCACACAACAACCCCTCATGGACTAGCAGTGTCCCCCACCCAACGCAAATGAATCGCAATTTAACCAATCCCCTATTAGAGAACGTTTTGTTTCTTTTCCTGATTTTTAGCTGCTATCAATGCTGGGGCAAATGTTGTATATGCATCTTTCATGGTTCTTTCTGTAGGATGCAACCATCTTAGCAGAATCACCATGTCGGAATATGGTTTCTTTTTTTTAATTTTTAAAAAAGATTTTATTTATTGATTTATTTAACAGAGAGAGAGAGAGAGAGAGAGAGAGAGAGAGAAAAGAATATGGTTTCTTAAAAGGTAGAAGGAAATTAACTTCCAGAAAGGTGGAACCAACTCATGTTATCACCCCACAACCACTCCAGCCTCCCATGCATCCAACTGTCTGGTTGTCCTAATAGTGGTTAAAGTTTTTTGGTTTTTTTTAATTCATTTCCATGAAGTTCGAGTTTACACACGATTCGAAGACAATCAGATGTGCAGCTTAGAAACTGGCAGGAGGGTGGAGAACAGCTGATTTGGGGGAAGCTGTGCAAGACCAGAGGCAGGAAGTCAGTAAGGCAATTATTACTGCAGTAATGATCCCAGAAGACCAATCGGGGCGTGACTTAAGCCAGTAGTGACCGAGTAATGATAAAGGATCAAAAGACACTAAGGGAGGGATAAATGAGAGGGCTTCAAGTGACCAACGGGGCACAGAGGAGAGATTCACCCCCCACAATCAAACGGACGTGGTAAAGCTTGCCAGGCCAGAATGATCTAGCATAATCAGCAGCATTAGCTACAAATGAGTGGGGCCATCTTGCACACTGGGTAGCGTCATCGGGCTTAGGCAGTGGCGGGACAGAAATGTAGGAGGAAGAGGAGTCATTTTCTCATTCACACCACTGGCTGAATGAGCGCTCAGCCCCCAATGCTTCAGGAGCTCCTCCTCACTTCATGCCCACAACAATTCCATGCTACAAGTGGAAGAAACAAAGGCACGGGGAGATGAAATCATCTGGTCCAAATCAGAGTCCGTATGCAGAAGAGCCAGTGTGTGAACCCAGGCAGTGATTTCTGAGGCCCCATTCTTAGTTTAAGAAAAGCTTCACTAAGAAAAGGAGGGAAAGACTGGGGAAAGGCAGTGGACAAGGATACTTCGCAGAAGAGGAGTGGGAGTATCAACAAGGGACATGGGGGTGGGGGTGGATGCACAGGCTTCAGCCTTCCCATAACCTTACACTGTTACCCCCTCATTCTTCAGTATACACAATGAAAATTTCTTAATCTTATATAAAATTATGCCAGTCTTCCCCAATAGACTGTACTCCCTAATTACCACTCCCAAATAGAAATGTCAGGGCTGTAGGCTGGTGATATTGGAGAGGCAGCACCCAATAGAGAATAAATGCATCAGACAGCCAACAGGGCCACGTCGGGGCTCAGAAAACATCAGGCTTCTCGCATCCACCTTCCCCACCCAAAATATAAAACATGGAGAAGTTGAAAGTCCTTTTGAGATCAAAGGAGTCAACTGTTTGGAGACAACCATATTAAAATACAGCCTTCGGTCATGCCCACATAGGAGAAATAATTGTAAGTTAATCAAAGAAGACCAAGGATGGGAGCTGTGCTCCCGGCCGTGGGCGGGGGGCGGGGGGTACTATGCCTTCCAGTTCTCCTGCTGCCCTGGGGCAGTCCATCCTCAGTCCAGGGGATGGCCCTAGACATGGAGTTCTGTCACTTAGAACCTCATTTCCTCCCCCGCCACAACCGTACCCCAAGACAGGCTGCTAACACCGTCAACCCCCCCAGAGGAAACTTAATTAATAAAACCTACACGGAAGATAAAGGAGCCGCCCTAGCAAATGGCCAGAAAATAGTGATCGGGTGTACATGCAGGGCTAACTGAGCTCCACAGATAAAGGATTTAAGTATCTCCCACTTGTCATTTGTTAAAGGTTTATGTTGGTAGCACTCCACCAAGAACATTCTCATTAATTTGAGATGGCCTAAAGTTAGCTCATAATTCCCCTATTTTTAAGATATGATCTGGTAACAGTTCCTCTGCCATCTAGTGTAATTACTGTAATGCCCGCTGTAGGGCCAGAGATGAATGCAGGGTCTGGGTAGCTTGGAAAACGTCTAAGAGAACTGACCTCAGAAAGCCTCAGCCAGAGAGACAGGGCAACTTCTCTACAATAGGAGTCTATCTGTAGCAATTTTTCCCATCAAGAGATGATTTTTTAAAATAAACACAATGGATCAATTTATAGTTCACAGCATTAAACTGTCACAAAGAAATTTATATCCTAGAGGGAATTGGATTTCTCCTGTATAATCAATGTTGAGAATAGATAGACCAGAATCCTTAGGTGGGAGGAAGGTCAGAATGCAGAATAAGACTTGATGCTGAGACCCAAGGTCTGAATTCACGGTGGTACAACCATCACCCCTACCTTCACTAGCCTCCTCTTCCTGAAACGTAGAAGAGGACAGAATTTCCTTCTGGTTCTGCTCCAATTTCAGGGTGTGGTAAGGGCCACAGAGGTCTCTAAAAATAAGGTAGTGTCTGCTGGAAAGTGAAACCACAATGAAAGGACGTCAACCAAGCCCTCTGAGTTCATTACTAACCTCCACAATCCTCTTGCTTCAGAGCAGAGGCCAGGCAGGACTTTCAAGGCTGGGGAAGACTTCTTCCCCTGGAACGTGGCTCAAAGGGACCCAACTTCTTATCTCAGTCTCCTTTCTTTTTACCAAGATCTCGCTCTAGCCTTCTACCAAAGGTTAAAGGAAAAAAATATGCATTGTAGGTTGGATATAGAGAGGGGGCTGTCAGGGAATGGTTATTAAAAGTTAGACAAGTCCCATCAAGGTCTCTTTCCCTCCTGAAGCCCAGGAAACCTCAAAAGGGCACCCTGTGGTCTGTTCACGATGCCAACTCCTCCGATCTCTTTACTCAACCATCATGGGATGCTGGCTGTACCCTAGAACACCAGGACTTGAACTCTGTTCCTGTGCTTCTCTGGGCCTAGATGTCCCCACACAGGATTTGGCCTTCAGGGAAGGTACAGTACTAGGCACTGCTCACATCCCAAGGCCAAGAACAGTTATTCTTCTGGAAGACCTAAGTCCCAAGTCCACTTACTTCGCAGTGTGCTCCAATTCCCTGCTCCTCTATGTGCCAGGAACCTCAGTGCGGGACAGAAAAATGCCCACTGTATGGAAACCCTCTCCTAGCCCATCAGTCAACTGCCTCAAGAATTGCAAGGTCTGCGAAAGAGCTCTCAGGAAGACCACAGGAATCTAGTATACGCAGCCTTCCAAGAGATTAGATGCATTTATAGAACTTGAATGGTGGGTGAACTCAGAAGGGTGATGGCAGTTCAGAGAGAACTGTGACTTTATCTGAACCTTAAGAGTATGAATGCGTGTTTGCCTCTAGGCACAAGCCCAAGAGCTGTGTAAGAGAAATTCTGGAAGGTTGAGATGGACTTTAGAGCAATCTGAATTACAAGGTTCTCCTGGGAGACTCAAAGATTCCAAGGCAAACCCAATGGCTTCAGGGATCTGTTAGATCTGACAATACTGGGGCCAGCCATGCATGTTTACCCTGAGGATGACATGCCCAGGGATTTCCTGAGCTGCCCACGTCTGGTCCACTGTTTATAGGCTTGAAGGAAAAGGCCACTGGCTTTTCCCCCTCTATTCACCATGAACCCTTTTCATACTGGTCAAAGAGGAGCTAGGTAGTCTTCTCTGAATAACTAAATTGGAACTGTAAGACCAACTCCAAGAAAATAAGACATCCGTTAAAATGAAGGCAAACTTTGGACCTAAGAAGTTTACTTTAAATAGATCATTAAAGGCAACCTATGTACAGTAGGAAGTATTTGCAAATCATATTTCTGATAAGGAGTTAATAACCAGAATATACAAAGAGCTCTTACAACTCAACAACAAAAACCAAATAACTCAAAAATAGGTGAAGGCCTTGAACATTTTTCCAAAGACAATATATGAAATATGATCAACATCACTAAATATTAGAGAAATGCAAATCAAAACCATAAGGAGAGATTACTTCATACCTATCAGGAGAGCTACGACCAAAAACCTCAAAATAACAAGTGTCGTCAAGGATGTGGAGAAACCAAAACCCTTGTGTGCTACTGACAGGAATGCAAAATGGTGCGGTCACTATGGAAAACAATCTGTAGGTTCCTCAAAAAATTAAAAATAGAATTGTCATATGATCCAGCAATCCCACTTCTGGGCATATGTTGAAAAGAATTAGAAGAGATATTTGCACACCCTTGTTCCCTGTAGCATTGTTCACAATAACCCATGGCTAAAAGAAGCCTGAACATCCATCAGCAGAAGAATGGGTAAACAAAAGGTGGTGTGTACACACACTAGAGCATTACTCAGCTTTAAGAAAGGAAATTCTGTCACCAGCTGCAACACGGGGGAGTCTTGAGGACACTGAGCTAACTCACAGAAGCCAGTCACAAAAAGATAAATGTTGTACGATTCCCCTTACATAGGCATCCAACGTAGTCCTAAGTCACAGAAACAGTGTAGAGTGGTGGTTTCCAGGGAAAAATGGGAGCTGCTCAATGGGTATAAAGTTTTAGTCTTCCCCCATGAAAGTGCTCCAGAGTTCTGTTGTGTAACAATGTGAGTATACCTACCACCACTGAACCGTACATTTAAAAATGCTGAAGATGGCAGGGGCTGGGGAGGGGGGTGCACCTGGGTGGCTCAGCCGGTTAAGCGTCTGCCTTTGGCTCAGGTCATGATCTCAGGGTCTTTGGGGTGGA